GCACATGTCCCTTGTCCCCATGCATGTGCGTGTCCCCACAGGAGTGCACATCATTCTGGGCGTGTGTGGGAAGCACCGAGACCAGAGGCTTCATCCCATGTCCTTCCATGTCCCCTGCATTCCCCTAAGGTATTCTTGCCCACGGGGGTGCCTTTTTGGGCTACCAAAAAACAGGCCAGACAAAATAAGGGAATAAAAAGTGGTTATATTTATTGAAGGGCCTTCAGGTACATTTTGGGCAGATGGAGCACCCCCAGGGGCTACACCCAAAATGGTCACAGGTTTTCACACTTTTATAAGTTTGGTCCATTTGTATATTGGGGGTTAATCTTCCAATTACAGCTTCAGGTAATGAAGTCATTTACCCGAAGTTTGCCCCACCAAACTCACTTTTGTTTACATTTCTCAGGGCCTGAGACAGTGAGGTGTCCTTGATTCCCACGCTTGGAGAGGAATTGCTTTATCTGACCAAAATGGGAAAGCAGTAGCTAACACTCTATATGGAGTTTAGAGTTACACACTAAAGAACTGAACAATTACAAATATATGAAAAATATAAAAGCTAAAATCCTAAGGCATCAACAGGATTCCATACTCCTGGGTGTGCACATCATTCTGGGGGTGCATGGGAAGCCCCATGACCAGAGGCTTCACCCCACATCCCTCCATGTCCCCTGCATCCCCCTGAGATGTTCTTGGGCACGGGGATGGGTTTGTGGGCAGCAGGGTGCTGCTGTGGGGCTGGAACGGGACAGCCCCTCCTGCCCCACAGCGCTGGTGACTCCCTGGACTCTGCTGAGACTGCGGAGATGAGCAACTTCACCCCAAATGCTGCTGGGGGAATTCCCAGTGATGAGGATGGAAACAAGAGATGACGAGGTGAGGGAAACCCCGCAGTCGGGGCAGCACTGGTGGCTGACACGGAGTACCCGAGTGCCTCCAGGAGCTGTTTCGGAGCTGAGAGCAGCCAAACGGGCTGGGATAACAATGCAGAAATTAAGGGATCCATTTCCAGGCAGAGTGGTGTGGTCTTCAAAAGTGGCCTCCGAGCAGAAGAGTCTGATTTGTTCCAGCTGAGATTGTTCCCATGGTTCCTGAGGGCGTTTGTGGTGGGAGCAGGGGGACTCCGGCTGACAGTGGGAAAGCCCAGCCAGCAGTCAGGGAGTCTCTGACATTTTCTGAGGAAGAGCAGGATGTGAATGGGAGCCCCTCTAGCAGCCCGTGGGTGCTGCTTTCTGCTTGAGGTGAGAGGCGGGCATGGGGAACCCCTGCTGATGCTGGGACCCCAGCCCACCCCAGACTGCTCGGTGGGATGCAGCCACATGGTCCGGGTGCTCACACCAACCCCCCACACAGGCAGGGAGGTGGCAAAGTGGGGGATGTTGGGGTGGTTCAGGAAAGGAGCTGGGCATCCAGAGGATGCTCCGGATCCATGCCTGATATCAGCCCCAGCAGCTGTGCCCACGTCCCCTCGGCTCATCCCCACTTGAGAGTCCCTGTACCTTCCCCAGCAGCCACGGTGGTGTTTCAGAAAGAGGAAGCGTCACCCCCGGCATCCCCCCACCACCATCCGGGGGCTATTTTGGGTCTGGAGAAAAGCGGAAGGCAGCACTGGGTAGGTGATGCCCTGCAGCATGCAGGGGCCAGTGGTGGATGGGAAGAGGAACCCCAACATCGCTTCACACCCCCATTCCCACCTGTGGGATGAGGAAAGAGGATCTCACCTGAAGCATAAAAGGTTTTGGGGGGGGCACGCAAGGGGCACTTGGGCAGTTCACAGGGTGATTGCAGGGGATCCTCCAATGTGTCCAGCTCCCAATTCCTGCCTTTGTGACCCAGGGGCTGCTGCAATAATAATTTTTAAATGCTGGTTTTTGCTCTTAAATGTATGTTTTGCCACTAGTGCCCAGGTAAGTGTTAGCCTGTGTGGCTGCGTGTGTGGGTGACCCAAGGAAAGGTCAGGTATACAACCATGAGTGGGGGTTGACTCTGATGGGGAGGGAGGGAAGGAGGGAAGGAGGGAAGGAAGGAGGGAAGGAGGGAAGGAAGGAGGGAAGGAGGGAAGGAAGGAGGGAAGGAGGGAAGGAGGGAAGGAGGGAAGGAAGGAAGCAAGGAAGGAAGGAAGGAAGGAAGGAAGGAAGGAAGGAAGGAAGGAAGTGGCGGAAGGAAGGAAGTGGCGGAAGGAAGGAAGTGGC